CAGTCTTTGGGCTAACGGCCCAACGAGGAAGTGCCTTTCACTAGAGGTACTTTTACTAGCTGCATTTACTAGCTGGTTAGTGGATTCTGTGACAAGTAACGGGCTAGTACTTAATGAATAGACCGACCTTTTTTCTAAGACTGCATGATACCGTGGAGCACTGTATTTTGATAGATCGATTAGAATACCTTGATTTTCCGTCATACATACCAGCATGGGTTCAAAGTTTTCTCGCAGACAGGAAATTTTATTGCTGTGAAAATGGGTTTCCATCATCTAATCACACACAAACGAGGGGAGTGTCGCAAGGCTCAGCACTTTTGCCAGTGCTATTTATTGTACTAATGAGTGTCATTCCACGTCAATAGGACATAACTTACGTTTACGCAGGCAAGATTGCAATTTTTGCAATGAAAGATAATATTCAGACCTTTTAAAAACGCCTTGAAACTTACCTTATTATTTTGGAGAGCTGGCTGGACGGCTATTGCTTGCTACTTAATTTGAGTAAATGTGTCCTTCTTATTTTCCCGATGCAATACCCCGCGCGCGTCTCCCTGTCTTACCATCGTGAGAATGTATGTACCACAGCTATAATCGGCTAAATATCTTGAAGTAATTCATCATACATCGCTCAACTGGCGACCTCACATCAAATATATCACCGGAAAAGGTGCGCGGGCCATTGGCATATTACGTAGGCTAAGCAACTACCCCACAGGTATCAGAAAAGACAAACTGGTTAGGATATATCGCATGTACGTTTGTCCTATTTTAGAATATGGTTGTGTACTTTTCACTGGAGTTCCAGCTTACAAGTTACGACCTCTAATTCTTTTGGAAAGAGAAGCTTTGCGCTTATGCCTTGGCCTCCTTAAAACAGTTGCTAACAATGTGTTGTATCTCGAATTGAGGGTCCCTTCTCTTTCTCGCCTAATGCGCCTTCTGACTTTTCAGACATTCTTAAGAATATATGATCAGACAATCAGAAGCGGCCTTTATTTCCCCCACTGAATCATTTTTGGTGCAATATGGCCGTGATTTTACGCCCCACAAATGCCGAGTCGTGATAATTCATATCCAGTGAAAATTCATTTTGATGGAATTTTTCCTAATAACGCCAAATTACTTCCCCATAATATTTTGGATGGTTTACTACAAGGCCACCTGCGCAGTATTACAACAAACATTGTTATTGCTACAGATGCATCACAATGTGACGAAAAGCCAGGAGTTGACCCGAATCGAAATTGCCATTATTCCCCTTGACTACCTAATTTCATACCCGTTTATGTGGCTGAATTTCTGGCAGTAGTGCTCGCCTTACGCAAGTTATACGGCAAATACATCAGCTGTTATAATAACAGATTCTCAATCTCTCTGTGGGGCCCTTTCTGTTCGTGCTGAATATCAAGTAATAAAGGCATTCCGTGCATTAGTATCTGCTAATTTGAGAAAATTATAATAGCTTCGGGTGCCTGGGCTTGTTTCTCAATGAATTAGCTGATTCCTTTGCAAATTGGTCAATGAGCGAACCACTTCTACCATACTTTCCATCATCCGCCTATGTGACTGCTGCTCGATTCCGCAGTTGTGCGCTTATGGAAGTATTTGAAGGCACATCACTGACAAACTCTACTGAATATCGCCGTTTATAATATTCCTGGCGAAGAGCCTTTTGCGAAACTCGTAAATTAGAAGTAGCTATCACAAGGCTGTGCTGCCGGGTGCTGAATCTAAATTTCTGCAAACACACTGTCTGCTCAGGCACCTTCTACACTGTGAGCGTTCTGTGGTGAACTGGAAACAATAGATCATTTCTTTTTGACCTGCAGGTGGTTTACTACAGTACGAAAAATCATTTTAGATGCACTTGTACGTGGTATTGGTATGAATTTATCTGTGCCTGTCATTTTGTCTTTCGGAGCCTCCATTTCTGGGTTCTTCATTGTAAGGGTATGCGCAATGTGAGATACTACATTACTGAAACTAATAGGTTGACTAATTAATCTGTATTGTTATTCTCTCGTGCCTACAACTATATATATGAATAAAATAAGTGTATTACTCTAATTTAAGAATAAATTCTTTTTTTGAATAATAATATGCATTAGATCAAACACCACAATTTTCAAGGGCATCTTTATTCTTTTTAATATTTAAGCTTCATTATTCTATAACTGCACATTATTTTAAAAAGACACCTCAATTTTTCGCCAATACCCCCATTCGGTATGCGCCACGGACAATAGGTTAACAAGAACAAGAACGGGTGTTGTATCTGTCTCGCACACTACATTGGCGCAGTCCGCCAAGTTAACCTATGAATGAAGCAACCGGTACGTGTCCTCGTGGGTTGTCGGGATCACCGGCCATCTCCATCGAGGAACGCCGTTCACGCTTCCTTGGCTATGGGGTCTCGACCACCATTTCAGCTACCCATCTGACCACCAGTGGACGACGGCCAAACCTCCCCTGTGGTTCTGGGGCATGACCTCATGGACACCCTGCCTCCGCTTCATGGCAGGGATCCGCACAGGCTCCTGTCCTTTGGGAATGCCGTTTAAGTTTCCCATGGCCTACATTCCCGCTTCAGGACTCTGCCATAATACGAGCCGATATGGAACGCCAACTAGGCTTCCCTGCTCGTGAATCTCGCCGGCATGAGTGCTGCCACCATGACTTACTAGGAGGCCGTGATCCCTGACTCTTCGGGCTTCACACCCGACAGCGCCGCCGACCTGCGACGTACCATCGCGCGACTTGACTTCATGGTCAGCGCCCTTACAGCGACGGGCACCGCGCTGTTCCCTGGCATCCTGCCGACCCTGAGTGCCAGCACCACCACCTCGGATGCAGCCACCTCACGAGACCTTGAGGCCTGCTCCTATGAACAGCGCAGAGAGCTGAAGCGCGCCCTCCTGCAGCACTCGGACAAGCTCGGCTGGTGCGCCTCAGCTATCTCGGCATTCTTGCATGCCGATCTACCATTTCCGACTATCTGGGAACTACCGGAATTTGACAGGTTGCAGAATGACGTCGACAGTTGGGCGGCAATTGTGAACACACTAGCAGTGTGTAAGGCTTGGATGGATTCTAAAAAACGGTGCGTGGCCATAGACCACCTTCGGGAGGGTGGTGCGGCGTGGCATGAGTATGAAGGCGTGAAGCAGCAGGGCTGGGCGTACTGAAGCTGCAATCTCACAGCTGCTTTTGGTCGTATTCCTTACCACCTCTCTGTCATTAGCCTGTGCAACCAGACCACAACCAAAAGTGAAACTCAGGAGGGGTTCCACCTCGAGGCTGCCCTTCACTGTGGCAGTTTATCTCTTGAGCTTCTCGATTCTTAGGTAGCCGACTCAAGTACAACAAAGCCATCGACTCCCAATGACATGTCTCGTCAAGGGCGCCACTGTGAGATGGCTTAGAGTGTGGATTCCACATGGAACCCCTCTCCCAAAGCACCTTGACAGAAACCTTATGGCAGTCATCGACCGAGTGTGCAAGTGAACCAATCACGCAGGCCAAGAAAGCCGAGGCCTTTATTTTCCGAACGTTTGCCCGTATCTTCAAGACCCGACGCAAGCAGGGCCAGGCCTATCAATGCGCCCCAGCCAGATTGAGCGACCATCTGCGATTCCGGCTACATGAAATGGGAGCCCACTGACACCAAGCATTTTGTTCTAGCTTCTAGTTTACCACAAAAAGACCGTGTAGGTAATCACGAGGCTGGTCTCCCCGCAAGCACTTCCGGTCACACGTGCAAGCGTGGTGCGGATCAGCCAGACGCCATATTTTGTCCTAGTCGCCTATGAGCAAAATACAACGATGACAACAAAGACAAAACGGCCATTTTGAATCCCGATGATCACGTCCCGCGGCTTGTCCGAGTTCGCAGATATTATGTATCGCGACGGTGGAACACGACGTTATGCAACGCGAATCAAGACCAGATTGCCAGACTGAAGGATGTGCTAGGCGTGTGATAACCACAGCATCGCAGTCAGGGCTGGCTGCTGGAACCATCTCCAAAAAATTTGACGCAAAACGACGTCACTGCAGAGAACTTCGACTACAACAAACTAAGTTAATTTCATCCGCCTGAGCACGCTGAGGCATCTCAAGCCAAGCCGCGACGTTTCAAGGACCAACCGCTCAGAGGCAGCCAGCATCACCCACCGGATACATCGTTGGCAAGTTTTCGGAAGACGTTGCCATGAGAAAAAGACCAGCCATTGTGACTGAGCCAATTTGTACCTTCAGAAAACAGAGAGGCAGATCTTCAAGCAGAGACGCAGCGTGGCAGAACAGACCACCGTGATTCAGTGAGTGCCGGCCACCAGAAGCATTGACAGCTGCTCCCCACGCTTCGATATCATGACCAACTGTCATGAGCAACAAAGACACTGGGGCTCGGGGCACGGGCAGCAAGATTGGTTAAGAAAAGGGAGATGGAATAAGAACAGCTTGCCTAAGGAAAGGGTGTTGTTTCTCTCGCTTATTAGTGAGTATGAACGTGAGTGAGGACCTGTGAGTGTGAGTAGGTGTGAGTAGGTGTGAGTTTGAACGTCAATGAGTACTCATGAGTGTGAGTAGTCGTGAGAGTGAGTGAGGGCCTATTAGAGTAAGTAGACGGGAATAAGAACGTGAGTGAGGGCGAATGCTCTGAAAATTGCAGTGAGTGAGTAAGAGCGAGTAGTGTCTCAGAGGGCCGACCTATGTTTACATCTCGATAAAACAACTCAGCTTGCTGAAAAATAGGAAGCTAGCCCTATTACCGTGGCTGTATACAAGAATAAAAAAGTGGTTATCCAGGCAAGCTCATAAACCGAAGTTCATGAACAAACTTCATGTGAACTTAACACAGTCGTTTTTTGTAGCGCGTGACGATAACTTGAACAAACCGGAGTATACAGTGGGCTGTTTGAGTAACCATGTTGTTCAGTACGAGCAACGAATACGCCGTGTTTAACGTTTTATTTCACTGAAGTATAGAGTTTCTCGATCGTACCTCAGCCCGACACACACGTTTCATTTAAATTCTCTCTTGGTTCACTCAACTGGCTTTTTATCTTCTTCTCGACCAAGCCACCAGAACGGAGGCAATGCCTCGGTTTCTTTGGGGCCCAGAATCAATGCATCTGCAAAGAAGATATAGTAATGATCATGTCATGTCCAGCTTGAATGGTTGAGGCAAGAAATATTTGACACAATCAGTTAAAACAGAAATATTTATCTACGGAATGCAACTGTCCGGTTGTTATACACTGTTATAATTAGCATTGAGATTGAAAATAAATTGGCTTCCGGATATTGATTTTTACCTAAGAGATTTCTCAAAAGAATACACCTGCCCTAAGAAATTGTTGAATGGCTTATTTCGCTCCTTGCATCAGTACGACGTCTAATAATACCCTAAATGAAGCACTCTATAAAGAACCTATAGAAAAACATGGGTACCTTATGCAACGCCTTCTTCGTTGCAGCCCGTGTTACACCAAAACAAAAATGCCGAGAACATGAGTTGTGTGTCTTCCTAATCCCAGATTTGCACTCATGTATGCGTAATAAGGATTTGTCTACTTCCTGGCATCGTTTACTAGTGAAAATAGATTTGATAACAAACAGAATTAAATGAACAACACATATCCAGGCTTTCAACAATGTTTAAATTCACAATTTGTGGACAATGGCTACGAAGCACATAACTGTATTATTCTTAATCCTTATAGGGTTGCAAAATTAAAAGCAATCTTATAAGTAAAGGCTGAAAAGCCAGTTCAAAATCTTAAGACCAAATAGGAACATTTTCAACATACGTAAAGGCAGAAAGCAAGCCCACGATTTTTAATGGCTAATAAAATTCCTAAGCTGTCGCAATGCGAGCTGGAGAATCTCAATAATCATTTCAGTGTTAAGTCTACTTACCCAAGTCACATGACATCCTATATAATCGCGTGCGGTTGTCTATGGCCCCGATTATGGCTGCTGATGTTGAAGTGAAATGATCTGAACGTGTTGATACATTACCCACCATCCGCACCTGATTATCTTTCCCCTACAAGAGTCATATGGCTCTCACCTGCACAACGGCAGCTTTTTGTTAACCTTTGCATTTACGGAAAAGCTTTTCACGCGTCTCAAATCTACCCATTCTGTACTGTCAGATATCGGCGACACCACTGCGGAAAGCTCTTTTTAATTGCGAATTACCAAGCGTTAACATACAACTTGTATTGGCTTTCTACGTTTTCATGCGTGCATTTCTCCCATCCGCTCATTCGAGCTCGACACAAGTGAAGACACGCCTGGTTTACGTTTTGTCAAGAGCTAGGCGAGCCTCAGTATGCCGCCACCTAGCTCACAGCATGACGCGTCGATTACGTCACTTGCGTTTCCCATGTGTGTTCAGCCGAACAGCTTTTTTTCGTTAAACCACATAATTTTCTTGATCCAACTAAAGGCTCATTTTAAACTACACCTTCATGCCTGTCATGCGATGCAGAGCTGGTAAGGAAAAAAGAAAGCTAGAGACGACACAGAGCGAACAGTCGTTTCTGGTTTTCTTTCCGTACCCTGCAGCTTGAAGACGTATCAACTAGCCTCCATTAACACCTTATTGAACTCCGCTTATTGTTTTCGTGGACAGCTAGCCACCTGGGCTTCGATGCGGCTTTAGCCTACAGCACCACCGATGTCATTGCCGACTTGCTAGCGGGCACACTTAATATCATAGCATACGGTGGCGTGCAGCGTGAACGACCATGGATGACTACCGAAAGGCCACTCTTGGTAATGGCTATTTGAACACAATAACACAATAAGTCTACTGCATACACATCACAGATGTGTGGCATATTGTCACACGATAAATGTGCCCACGAGCCATGCCGACACGTTTTACTTCTGCAAAAGGTGGCGATTTGTGTAACGCGAAGAAGATATTGCCCGTTTAAAAAGCCAGGCGGGAAAACAAAAACAAGCAAGTTTTCTTGTTTTTTTTTTTGCCGCCCTGTTTACATGGAAAACTCGTCGCATGTACGAAGCCAAGATAGCAACATCCATACAATTTGCCATGCGACTGACGTCTTGCAAATATACAGGGTCGTTTTAAGTTTACTGGACGTGTTTAGCGCATTTGGTCCGAAATGTGCTGCGCTAATGCGATTAGTCTCGAAACTAATGCCAGTGGCTTCAAAATGGTGCGTCCTACCATTATCAGCGCAACATGCATCTGCGTTGCATTCCTAGCCGGTTTATCAGCAGCACTCTCTGCTTATTTGGACAAGTTTTTCACAGCCACGGGCATAAGCAGCGGATATTCTTAACAAGTCAACCATCGGAATTAAATTATTGTTTATGCCAAAAAAAAAACTAGTCAAAAGTGGCTGTAGTTGCGTTGCATTAAGAGGAGGCACGTGTGAAATATTTTTTGAGGTGGTCAGAGGCTCATATGGTGTCGGGCACTGCTAGTAAACAAGTACGCTGCTATCTACGCATTCTTTCGTCGTCCTGAAAATCCAGAAACATTTATTTGCATTGAAGAAAGCGTTGCCATACATGTTTTTTATTTGTTTCAATCATACTTGCCAAATTATAATTCAGCATGTAAGTAACTCTTTACCTCGACTTATTTTAATTCACTGTGTACAATGAATAGCTCTTAACTGCGCATTTGCGTGACGCTTGACTGAATCTTGCTAAGCCATGGGTGTATACATCAGCAGCAGCCTGAGTATACGCCTACTGCCGGGCAAAGGTCTCTCCCATGATCACACAATCAACCCGGTCTAGTGCTCACTGCTGTCACGTTATACCTGCGAACTTTTTATTTCAGCGGCCCACGTTACTTTCCATGTCCCTTTGGTGCGTGTTTCTTCTCTGGAAATCCAGTCAGTTACCCTTGATGGCCAGCGGTTATACTGCCTACGTAGTATATGTGCGCGGCCCATGTTCGTGTCTTTTTGATTTCAACTATGATATCCTTAACCCCGATTTGTTCTCTGACCCACTCTGCTCTGTTCTTGTCTCATAAAGTTACACCAATTATTATTCTTTCCATATGTAAAGCGCATTAGAATATGAAAATTCGGACACCTAGTAAATCAATCACAAGTGGCGTGGTCCTGATACTATGCTAAAGCATGATCTTTCTTCGAATCATGTTCTGAATCAGCTCTGTTACGCTGTCGTGTAAGTTTTTCAATGAAGGGGTTGATTTAAACAGTGCTTAATTTGCGTCCACCCGTACACCCCGAAAGCCACGGCCCGCAGGTATTCGCCATACTTGACTAGTTGAAAGGATATGTGGACGCTATCATGAGTGTGCATAATAGAAAGTACTTCATTCAATAATTGAACTCCAAGTGAATTTGTGCCCTGTGATTACATCGCCAGAGAGTGCGAATTCGGAGCAGTTCCCGCAAGCGGGCCCCCCATACCGTGCAGCAGAAGACACGAAGTTCCCCCCGACGCGGGCCCCACGTTCGCGGCGCCGGGCAAAGCTCAGTGTTAAGTGTGCACACCAGCGTGACAGAAAGAAATGCTCCTCTCTTGCAATCGACCCCCGAAGGAATCTTGGGAAAGGGCCGCGATATTCCAACGAAGCTCACCTGGAGCTTGAGGCAGTCGAACCTTGGCGTGGGCGAAAGGAAGACGCACTCCGACTCCGTCTGGACAGAACCCACATCGGCTACGCTCCGGTCCCTGCTGTCAAGTAGCTCCCCCGACTACTCCTCGAGGGCTCCAGCAAGTGTCAACTAGTGCTGCTCCGGACCCCAACTGCCACCAACGAAAGTATATTCGGACTTCATTGTTTTTAACGAGCAGCGAAATTGAGTAGTGATTTGGACTCTTAATTAGTGATGTAGAATTCGAAGCAACAACTAGAGTTGTAACATTGTTGTCAGTATTCTGTGCCATCACATGACAAAAACCAGTATGTTGGCCTGACTGTGAAGCAAAAAACAAACCTCGCCTTCACATTAGTTTGTGTTTACCTATACTCTTCAGCTCATTTTGATCGAAAAAAAACTGGACGACATATTTGTGAGCGTACCGGGTCCATGGATAATTCAGGAGACTTCAACGCCCACCACCGTATTTGGGGAAGCTCAAAAGTCAAAGCCACATGTGGGAAACTGGCTTCATTTGCGCTGACCATTACTCACAATGTAAGGGGGCGGTAACAAAACTTGAGGAAAGAATTTGGCAACATCAAGCCTATATAGGCACAAAACACTACCGCATGTACCTTTATTAACTCATATTCCAATCAGCGTGCACTTTATGGGTTGACATGTAGGCTGTCAATATGCTTTAAGTGTAGTCAGGTAGCATTATTCACTCACCAACCAAGTGTTGTATTGCTTATAGTGTTCGACTGCTGACTGGAATGCCACGAGACTGAATCTTGGTGACGCCGGCCGCATTTAGAAGAGGGCCAGATGCATTGAGCTCATGTGCTTGTATATATAGGTGCAATTAAAAAAATCCAAATGTTATAAAGCTTCTCTGTCTTCCCACTAGTGTATACCACCATATACAAATAGCGATACCACCACAAAAGTTTGAGAGACGTGTCTCTAACTATTGTGGTGGTGTTGGTATGCTTCTTTGATATGCTTATTCAGAGGTCTCTGCTGTTAATTTGTAATATAAAGTGCAATTAAAAACACATCAAAACCACAATGACATCACGGCATGCTAGATGTCCCTGCCACATCGGTGACTATCTCAAATTATAGAAAAAATGCCGCCATATCCACGAAGTGAATGATGATGAGTGGGCGAAGCTCCGGAGGTAAACCTGGTAAACCATGAATCCTCCGTACATTTTGCCGACTCGATTTTATTGCAACGCTCCCCCTAGCGTACTTCGCCGCACTATATCGAACGATGACACGCGCCATATGTGGCATCATTCCTATTTTATAACACCTCGCATCTTTCATAATCAACTACACGTACCGCCGTCTAGTTTATAACATCTTGCATCTTTTGGATGGACGGATGGACGGACGGATGGACGGATGGACGGACGGACGGACGGACGGATGGACGGATGGATGGATGGATGGATGGATGGATGGATGGATGGATGGATGGATGGATGGATGGATGGACGGACGGATGGACGGATGGACGGATGGATATGGCTGTACCCTTTAGATTGGGCGGTGGCTAGCGTAATACTTAGAACTGAACGAGAGGTGGCTACATACAGGGGACGCACAGCCCACGCCTTAAGGAGCTTCGCTCCTAAAAATGCGAAGACTTCTTGCATACAAGATAAAAGAGTTCTAATTGCTGATAGTTAACGTTCTAAAGTCACTGCATGGGTATGCATAGAGATATGCCGTAGTGGAATACTCCACAAGGGTTGACCACATGGGGTTTTCTAGCGTGCGTTTTATTTTAGGTAAATTAACCTGAAGCATTTTAGCGAGGATCAAAAATGCGACCAATATAATATACTTCGTGACCAGCGCATGCGCAGTCAAGCACCATAACTACTAGATCACCGTGCACATGGTTGGCTCTTTGCTGTTCAATATATATATATATATACATATATATATATATATATATATATATATATATATATATATATATATATATATATATATATATATATATATATATATATATATATATATATATATGCACATGGTTGGCTCTTTGCTGTTCAATATATATATATATATGTGTGTGTGTGTGTGTGTGTGTGTGTGTGTGTGTGTGTGTGTGTGTGTGTGTGTGTGTGTGTGTGTGTGTGTGTGTGTGTGTGTGTGTGTGGTGTGTGTGTGTGTGTGTGTGTGTGAATATCTTGGAGACAGACGAGTTTTCCTTGCCATGGAAGCCTTTTAAAAATTTGCTGAATGTCGTCTGAGCGTTAATTTTTTTATGAATGATCACACGTCATGAAATTTATTCTGGAAGTATCGTTTCGCTTTTCAGCATAAAGCTTTGGTTGAGTACAAAGCAGGAACTTTTGTATCAGGTGCTTGGGGTTAAATAATGTATGGCATTATTTCTACTACTAGCTACACCTAAAAAAATCTGGCGCTATGGATGAATACCTGAGTAATGAATATTGCAGCGAAAGCTGTTATGAGATCGCAACTCGGGTCGAACGCAGTGCAGCACCGCAGTTGTCCGCCGTGCGCGCCGCCGTCCGTAACAATAGTGCGCGAAATTATAAAAGAAGAAACTTCGTATTAATAACAGAATCCGGGTCTGCTAGGAGCCAGCTCAGTATTCTGCCACTGGGCCACACCGTAGCTTCGAACTCTTTGACAAACTTGCTTTAGGCAGACTTGATGTCAGGAAAGCAATCGTGTCAATACGACTTACAAAGAGTTTTAAAACAGCGAAAGAACAAGCAGTCGTCGCACAATGCGAATAGCGTAACTAGTTGGTTGTCCAATGTTCCAGCCCATTACACAAGGTTGTTTTTGTTCAGCTATTAACTGTAGCGCATACCCACTTCAAAAATTTTTCCTCATCGTCGCCAGACACTGCATCAACAGTTGGTACGAAATTCCTCGCAATAGTTTAGCGGACACCACACTTCTCAGAAAAATGGTGAAAAATAACATAGCGAATGCCAGCCTACGACCTTAAATTTTTCATTCTTAATGATGTAATGGGCATCAAGCAAGTGTGTTTGCAGCAGTTACCTAATAAGTGTTTAGAAAAGGCTCTGAAAGGCCGATCTTTTAGCTTTCGCTGTGACTGTGCTGCCTCTTCCACGCAGGCCTGGCTTTTTTTTTGTTCTACTGAAAGAACAATTTTATTAAAACTGTGAGGAACCGGTTTATTCGGCCAGGCTCGAGCTCAATCACGCCGGTGATGATATTCTTAGAGGAAGAAGATGTACAGGTGATGATGATTACAAAGAGAATAAAGAGTCATTCGCTTGTCGCACTCACACTAATTCCCCCGCGCGGTGAAAGCGGCCGCCTGGTCGCTTGACAGTATTATGAAATGCGTCGCGCATATGGCTTTAAACGAGATACGTGCACTATCTCTGTTCCTCGGCAACGATGATCAGGACTAGCGCTAAGAGGAGAAACGCGGTAATTGACAGGAGATGTCTGTTCGACCACCGTGTATGGCCCAATGAAGCGACTGATGAATTTGTCGCATAGGCCGGGGACACGTAGTGGAGTCCATAGAAGAACTTCGTCACCAGGGGAAAAACTCACAACACGGCGAGACGAGTCGTAGCGAGATTTTCGAGTGTCTTGACAGAGGCCGGTGTTAACACGGGCCTGGTGACGGCAGTGTGCGAGACGAGATAGGAATTCTTCAGAGAAAGGAGCCGTCGAGGGTGCAGGGGCCGAAGGGAAAGAGACATCCAGACCGAAACTAGGCGAGCGACCATGGACGAGAAAAAATGGAGAAAAGCCGGTAGTGCGTTGAGCAGCCGTATTATAGGCGAATGTCACGAAGGGTAGAATTGCATCCCAGTTCGTGTGGTTGGGGTGAATGTACATGGCGATCATGTCCGATAGGGTCCGATGAAACCGTTCAGTCAATCCGTTGGTCTGCGGGTGGTAGCTAGAAGTGGTCTTGTGAACAGTGTTCGAGGCACGCAAAACTTGCTCGACAATGAAAGATAGGAAGACTTTGCCACGATCACTGAGGAGAATGCGTGGAGCTCCATGACGCAAAAAGATGTGGCGAAGAAAGAAATCGGCGATCTCAGTGGCAGTCCCAGATGGTATAGAAGCTGTTTCTGCGTAGCGGGTAAGGTGGTCGACTGCCGTGACAATCCAGCGATTCCCATTGGATGATATAGGAAGAGGGCCATACAGGTCGATTCCAACGACTTCAAAAGGTGAGGCGGGACAAGGAAGAGGTTGCGTTAAGCCAGCCGGAGCAGTTGTTGGTCGTTTTCGCCGTTGGCAATGGACACAGGAGGCGACGTACTTAGCGACGGCTGAAGAGAGGCCAGGCCAAAAAGAACGACTTCGTATTTTGTCGTAAGTCTTGTGGTAGCCTAGATGAGCAGCAGTTGGATCATCATGAAAGGCTTCCAGAACTTCACGTTGCAGAGAACGTGGGATGACGGGTACCCACTTGTTGCCATCGATGTGGTAAACGTAGCGACATAAAGCATCACCGACAAGCTTAAATTGTTTAAGTTGTCGACGGAGTCTGGTGTTTGGAGGAGTAGTAGAGCCGGTCAAGCGGTCAAAAATGGTGCGGCAGTATGGGTCGACACGTTGTTGTGAAACAAGGACGGATAGGGTGGCAGGTGATGAACTTAGCGCTGCGATTGGAGAGGTGCTGTTGTTTTGGAGTATCGATGGTGAATTGCTTCCGCTGGGCAAAGGACAGCGCGATAGAGCATCAGCATCTTGGTGCTTCTTCCCAGATCTGTAGGTGACATCGAAATCATACTCCTGTAAGCGAAGCGCCCAGCGACCAAGGCGACCCGATAAGTTTTTCAGTGATGAAAGCCAGCATAGGGCGTTATGGTTGGTCACGACGGTAAAATGACGGCCGTGAAGATATGGTCGGAATCTTTGCACTGCCCAAACAACAGCAAGGCACTCTTGCTCTGTGAGAGTGTAGTTCTTTTCTAGAGCGGTAAGAGCACGACTTGCGTAGGCAACGACGCGTTCGCGTGAGTTTTTGTCACGCTGCAAGAGTACCGCACCGAGACCATGACTACTTGCGTCGGTGTGAAGGATGGTGGGTGCGGTGGAATCGAAGTGGCACAGTACCGGATCCGACGTGAGGGCTTGCTTCAATGCCGTGAAAGCGCTTTC